ATCTAAAAGTTTGTCCATCATCAAAACACATCATTCAGTGTCCCTCTTGAACCAATCAGCACAGCTTTTGAACAGATGACTCCGCCTCTCAGAGCCTGTCATTATTTTTACAGCACGTAAACTCTTCCAGGCATGTTCACAGTCAAACAAATGGAGCCTCTCCAAGCCAAATAGACCAAGCCACCCCGCCGGGAGCCTTGGGTAGGCCCTCATGCAGCTTCTCAGACATACACACACATTTGTGTTTGCAGAGAGCAACCGTGACTCATACACACTTTCTCATACACACATCCAAACACACACACACACACACACACACACACACACACACACACACACACATACATGGCACGCTACCCTGCCCGGAGACCTCTGACTTGAACCTGCTGCTCTCACTCAGCAATACATAAATCACTGGGCTCTCAGCAGCACTGCTGGCCCTCAGTGCCATGCTGAACTTGACTCCACGGGAATAAAAGTCTGTAACAGGATACAAAAACTAATCCAGGCCAGAGACAATTGCTGGCATACGGAGGCCCTAGAGGTGCTGATACCCCCTGTGACGATACGCCATCTCTGTCATGAGACCTCTGACTTCTGCACTAAGGCGACACAGGCTTGGTAGGTGCTACTGCTCAGAGATCAGAGAGACAGGGAGAATGAGTGAGGACGTGAGGGAAAGGGGTGATGAAGACATAACCTGTCAAGTCACTCTCATTCTTGGTCTCGCCATCTGTTTCTAAATATGCCTCCTTACCCAACTCTCACTCTGTCAGGTATAATGGAGAAGTCTTAAAGCTAAAAGGCTTCAATCTTTGTGAAAAAAAGAGAGGGACATAAAATGACACTGTCTCTCTCTCTCACACACACACAAACACTGCTGGAAACTCAAGTAAGTACAAATTTAAGGTTATTCTATCCTTGAGTATTTCTATTCATGCCTCTCCTCCTCTACATTTGAGAGTGAGATATTGCACTGCTTACTACTTTCTACTGTATTTGAAAACTATGGTTGTTAGTTATTTAGGATTTTATACACAAATCATATGATCAGTTGCTAAAATATAATGATGTGGTATATCAAACCACCTAACAGTACATACAGTTACAGTTAGCTCCACATCAACCAGGGACAACATATTGATAGATCTGTTATCATAATCCAAAAATAAACACTCTGAAGAGGACCACTGTGCATTATGAGTACATTTACTTTTACATATTTTGACACAGTATCAGCAGTACTTAAACCTTCAGCAAAAGGTTTTTAACTGTTATGAAACGGTGTCAATTTAATAATGATGCCTCTATGATCTACATAAGCAAACAAGACCAACAGCAATAAGACTGGCTATTTTCTGTAGTTATTCTTAATGCCTGCTACTGGGTTTTAAATTCAGTCAGATTCTTTTTGAAATCAATAAAACAAGGCGGTGTAAAAAATACCACTTGTCGATAGCGGCCGCCAGAATCAACTCAAAATGAAAGTTCCTTGTTGCTGCTTTAAATAAATTATCCGAATATTTCTTCCACCACTGCACACACACAATGCCTTTTATATTGTTTTTCAATACAAAGCTAATATATCACAATTTAGCATATGCATCTCTTGGACAAGTGTATACAGTGTTTGTTCTGTTAAGGTTTGGGAAAGAGCATTGTGTTTCTGGAACACTGGAATACACTGTTGAGACTTCTGGGGGTGTTGCCTAATTGAACAAAATATCAAAGAAAGAAAGTGTCAATTTGATAACCCCATTTGCCCACAGTGATTCATGAAAGTCAGAGTAGATAAGAAGTGGTGTCTTTGTTTTGGTGCTGAAGATTTATGAGGCTATACTGAAATACAAAACTTTATTTGGACATCTCAGTTTCCTTTTGTTGCCCTGTTAGTCCAGTTAAACTATTGACAAACCAGCACAACACAGCCCTAACAACACCCTGCTGTAAATAATCCAACAGCCTGTAATGTGGCAACTTCCCACACCACTCCCTAACTGTCTAACTGCAGTCCTGTAGCGTGCTCTAACCCTCCGTCCCAGCCCCCAGTCACAGCTACAGGCCTGACACCAGCTCCAGTAATACAGGAATGCCTCTGTACTCATCTGTCCTGATAGAGTGGCCACTGTTTCACTCTGATAACATCAGGCACCAGGGCCTGCACAGCCACGGGGCTCCGAGACACACTTTTATGACTTGAGTATCTTGGACTGATATCTGCAGCCATCAGCTCAATACACCCTCATCACATACTTACACAGACACTCAGACACTCTCTCTCCGTCTCAGAGATTACACACAAACACATGTACACACATGTATATGCACACACTCCCAAGAATGCTTTCCAACATGCACATGTACACACAACCTCACTCTATTTATTCTACTTTCCATCACACAACTGAGTGTCTATATTCTGTAGACTAAATTTAATCTTCAGTCAACTTGTATTTCATTAGCCACAAACTGTGAAATTACTCCTAATTTTAACCACTTAATCCTAACCTAATAACTTAAATTGAATCATCAACCTGGCCCTAACTCTAATGGCAAACCGTAATACTAGACCAAATGCTAAATTTAAACTCAGTAACCCTAAATCTAACTCAAGATGACTGTTACTGGATGGACCAAAACAATGAAACAAAAAAGATCTTTCTATATCGCCATCTTATTATTAGTGTAAGTATACTGGGTCCTCACATGGTTAACCTATCAGATCCCACATAGACCAGTCCAAATCAAATAGACTTCAAACTGAGCTAAACTGAGTGTACCAGAGCCATATCACTGGGAGACACAGAGGAAAACAGCAGGGATTCTCCTGATATCACTGACTTTATGTCCACCTGATTAGAAGCCATGCTCACTGAATTACAGTCAAAGCATTAAGTCCTTCATTCATTTGCTGCTGTGTTTGAAAAACTTTTATTATAGTAGCACAAACAATTACCACTGTGCTTGTCCTTGTATTAATAAGAAAATCAGAGGTACTGACCATGGCCTTCTTCAGTGAATGGTAACAAAATAAACCTCCTTAGGGGATATATAAAAGTATATTTTTCTTTAGTATGTCCTTCAGTCAGGTGTTTTTAATCTGCACAGGTTTGGCCTTATTCTCAGTACTGGACAGTCTTTGCCAGCCTTCATTTGAGTCTCCAACTTGATGGATGGTAGTTAACGACACGTTTGAGCGAACCACACAATCTACTTGAGTGATCAGGAGATAATGAAAACAATGCATTATATGGATGTTTGAACAAAGGTACATAGTCTTTGTTGGTATTGCACACATGATTGGATTTCCAGATGCATGGTATGCTGGCAGCCATACACTTGTAACTGTTTGTAAAAAGCCTCCAAAATGGGCAGAAGACAAAGTCAGAATGTAGACATTCCAATGGCTGGGAAAATGAACTTCATGCAGCTGCCATAAGAATGTCTATAAAGACAAGTCTGAATTTTGAATACTTTCATCTTATACACAATTCTGACAAGTTTATTGCATAAACGTCATTCTCTAATAAGTTTGGCTTTTAGGCCTATAGACAGATAAAAGAACAAATGATAACTCACAATAAAAAGTTCTTTGTCACAAACTAAACATTCTTATGGCTATTAGTATAACTTGTCTTGTTAAACTCGTGCATCCAGTTAATGAAAAATGTAACCTCAGCCACCACTGTCACTTCTGTCAGAGTCTGGAGACATCACAGATACCCTGTACTCCTCTTTGACCCAAGAAAAGGCAGTGTGCCTTTTGATGGACAGCACCACTTCACTCTTTCACATTGATGGTCAGTCACACAAACAAAAAGAGGGATGAGATGAGTTTCTCAGGGGAGTGAGGTTAATAAAATCAGGGTGTCTGTGTGTCCTGAGCGGTGGCCATATTTGATGCTCTAACAGAATGAAGGTCTTTGGCGGCCCAGCCTGGCAGTCTTTTAGCTAAAGCAAGCAGATTTCTTTGAAGCCTGGCCACCTTGGCTGCAGAGCCATTACTCCCGGGTTTTTCTTTACATTAACCATGCTACAGCAGCACAAGTGCATTACAGGCTGCCGCCCCAGCAGGGCCCAATTGTACTCCCGCTTGTTAAATATTACCCCAACAGAGCTTTTGATTTTATTGTCATTTTTTTCTCCCCATACCGCTTATCCTCCTCCCCTCCCCCGATCAGATTAGGATCGATTGCTGCATGGCAGAGCTGGCCCAGACATGAGGACCAGAACAACGCTACAGCGTGATTGTGCTCCTCAGGCCCCGCCTTGGAGACTATTCAGGCGACTAAATAGAATGATTTGCCCTTAGATGTCAAATTTCCTCCGAGACAAGGATGTCAATACCAATTAGATTGTCTGCAGTTGCCTTAGTTACGCCAGCCTGCCCCACACCACCACCGCCACCCCAACCTCTTTTCCTCTAAAGATACACTCGCTCTCTTTTAACATCTCACTCACATCTCTCTTTTTTGTAGGCAGAGTGGTGGTCTCGGCACCAAGCCTTTAGCCTCAAATCAGTTTTATGGCTGGCGCTGTGCAGACATTAGGCTAACTCCATTAGCCTCTCTGAAGGAGATGGCCTGAGGGGATACTGAGGGGCCAAGATGTGACTGGGTAGGGATGGGTGTGTTTGTGTGTGCGTGAGCGGGAATGGTGAAAGGGTGAAGGGGTAACATTGTCTTACAGACTCTTTTGGCATCTCCTTAAAGGTCACTGTCTGCTGGTCCGAGGAGGCAAAAGCCCACTGGAGCAAGAACATAAACAAGAAAGAGAAGTGGGCAGAAAATGGATTAATGAACAAATGTAATTAGGAGAAAGGGAGGATGGAGAGAGTGGGAGAGAGGACTCTGTCTCCACTTAGTATCGTGGCTCCTGCAGGCGCTTAAGTGCTAACATGACAAACAGATGTGGCCATGGCTGGCCAGACATGGTGCTGCACACTCACGCACATACACACAAGTGTACAAATACACCTACACGTACACAAATACACATACCGTTTTTCTTTTGCTGTGTCTTTCTCGGCTCAAACTCGCTGTAAATTAAATGCAGAAAAATATGACTGTTACAAAATATAAGACAAAAATGTTCATCATGGATAGATGGACAGACATATCTGAAAAAACAACAAGCTCAAACCCAACAGGACAGCCATGTGCAAAAGTTCAGCAGCAGAGCAAAAGTTGATAAAGCCACAGCTGCTCCACTATAACATACATTCTTACGGACCATTAGGCGTAATTACGGATAGCATTAAGAGCTAAAAATGTTGTGCTCACTAACTTACTACACAGCTTGCATTCTGTTTTATGAAAATGAAAACATACAAGAGAGGGGTTTCACCTCTGGTAGATTAAAGTTACTGTAAGTAACAGATATGTCAAGAAAACCTTAAGAAATTTCTGAAAGGGCAAACAGATTCAGAAACACATGCTTTGCTGTACACCACAACCTATGACCTTATATGTTTTCAGCCTTTGATCTATCACGTCTGTCCAATGATAAGAGCTCTGTGTTCTCTCAGCTGTTCACTAGTTACAGCTTAAGTGTCTCTGGGAAATCACCTTGTCTGGACTTCAGCATTTAACTTATGTCGGTGTGTTAAGAGTACCCTTGATTTGTTGATGAACTATTATTTCGCTTAAGCTAACATTCATTCAGACATTCTCACAGCTCACAATATTTGTGTTAAGGGCTACAATGATTGATTGATAAGACTATAACTTCCTGGTATTTAGTTTAGATCTTTATTGCTTCAGGAATATGAAACCTTACACTTTCTTTTCCAGGTTTCAATTAGCATCTACAGTCACCATTAACTGCTGCAATTGTCTAAATCAATACCTTCCCAGAAAGCATCCAAATTAGCGCAAGATAAAGTAATCAGCTGTTTTCAGTTTTCTGCCCTTAGTTACAGTTAACCATAAAAACAAAGGGACTTTTTTGAGAGTATGCACAGTATCATAATATCACAATCATTTTAAAATGTAATGCTATTGCAAAGTTTCAGGCAATATACTTCATCCCGAATTGAAATTAAATGTTCGAGATACTCACAAAAACTGACCTCACAATTTTTAATGCAACCCTTTTTGCTCAATGTTAAGCACATTTTTTCCCTCTATTTTATGCCAAAGGCATACTGTGCATGACCAGGGTTGTGAATCTCCTTCTTTCAGTACCTTTTCTCCTCCTTTCTTCTGAGGGCACGCAACACTACACAATCAATTCAGCAGCGAGGAATGGAAACAGGACTTGCATTTTGAAGTTGGTTTAACCTTGCAGTGACACCTATTGCAGATGCTTTGAAATGGTTGAGAAGAATAGTTTCCGCATGGTGGAATCTGTAATTAGGCGGCACATCTGCACCAGCAGCAGCACCCCAGCATCCCCTCAACCTCCAGATCTGGCATGCTCAGAGCTTGGTGTTGGTTGGCAGCCAACACAAACAGTTCCCCACTGCATAACTGTGAATAATTTTATGAGATGAATTTCAACTGGGCAATTAGAAGGATTTCAACTGTGAATATTTCAAGAGCACCATTGCATTCTACTTTCCAATCAATAAGGGCAAGGGACATATCAAGGCAGCAAGAGAGACTCATATACAAGTCACAGAACAGGAGGAGCAAAGAGTTGAGCGAAGAGACAACGAAAGATAAACAGAGAGAACGATAAAAGAAGAGGAGGAGAGATAGTGACAGCTGTGAGACAGAAATTTACTACCAGATCATCAATTAACCACTCCAATCACAATGGATCAAGCCATTAAATGTGCATTTCTTCTAAATGACCTCCTGACTGACAACGACTGCAGATCCCAAGCTTGTATTGATGGCTGTTGGAACACTATGCAGTCCCAAAGTCTGAGAAGTTCACTGTTTGTCAGTTAATTCGGCACATGCGGTCAGGAACAAAACAAATGTCTGCCCTCTCAACTTACATACGTCTCATTAAATGCAATCCAGTTATTTCAAGCTACAAGACTAATGTCTTGTGCTCTCAAGTTGGCATGTTTACTTTGCTCTCGTTTTTCTTGTGCTGAATAAGCACAGAATGTGACCATTAAATATATTGCTGATGGAGAGACAAGGGGAGGGAAACATCAATATTAAACTGAACTGGAGTTACTGCTGGCTGTGTTACGTGATAGGCTATCCCCAGGTGACGTAATTTCCAGGTTAGATAAAGAATATGCAATGAATTTACACTAGTAACGTTTAAGTTAAGATTGTAAGCATGCAATGTGGTTTCTGTGACTTAACAATAGTTACTTGAATTTTAGAATACACTAATGCTCAAATGTTGCCATAGGTAATTTTTCAAAATGTGCATATCTCCCTAAATCTATTAAAAATGTAAAATTAGGGGATAAAAGGTATTTACTTCTCCATTGACACTACAATTAGCCTTTGTGTTATGAAAAAAACATGTGAAACAAAAGGAACTTAGGACATGGCATACTCCATAAAATCCGACTTTCAGCACCTCTGAAATTAGACCTAAAGTCCCCCCAGAGGGGCTATTAGACGATAAATCCCTGCCGTTGACCAGGTTCTGCCCTCTACTTGCTCATGACTGACATCCCAACATCTTTGAAGTCTCTCGCCACAACAACACCAGCACAGCTTCCTCTCCCCTAGAAAGACAAAATGTGAGTTGCCCATTTTAGCACACCAGAAAAGAGCAGTAGAAGGTTTAAGGGAGGAAAGGGGATCCACAACATTCAAAATAAGCCAGATGTTTGCGTCCCATGCTAACATGTGGAGACATGCGCTTGCCGTGGGCCTGCATTAATGGGGGTAGAGATCCATCTGGGGGGGCTGATAGGGAAAGGGGATGCTGTGTGATAGGCCGTAGCACATACACACACAGTCACCCGGTCACATGTGCTAGCAATAAGTAAGCCTTGCTGCCACTTTGGTCAGACAAACAGATGGAACTGGGCTGAGGCTCTATTGCTGAGACGGGAATATTTCCCATTTCAGCAACAAAAAGAAAAAAAGAAAAAAAGAAAAGAATTATACTCACATAACCTTTTATATAATGATATAATATACAGTCTAGTGTTTTACTGTTGTTTTGAGGACATTTTATCTTGATATTGATACTTTCAGTTAAAAAAACTGTAGATTGAACACGAGGATTACATTAATTATCTTCTTAAACTCTGTTAGTTTTAAAATAATGAGAAGTATTGTATAATAAATGCATTTTCTCTCTCACAAAATTGGAATGAAATAACATTAAATAAAAATGTAAAGTTCGTTCAGCAATAAAAAAATATTTTTCCTTTTTTTTTTTAAATAATTGTAATTTAAGTTAATTTATCCCAATATTATTCAGACATAAATTTGATGGTTATTGTGTGCCATGAAAAGTAATTTCCAGTGTTCACCATTTAAAATATACTGGTAGAGTACTACAATGATGAGTCCTTCTGGGTTAATATTTAACTAACTTAGACATCTTTAAAAAGGACTGCCTATTAAATCATAATGCTATTTTTATGGACATTAATTATGCTAATTTAAAATGCATTATGCTATAAGATTTTGTATCACGCCACCCCAGTTTTATTTTATTTTTTAGTATACCATTAATATAATGTATCCTCTCCATATTATCACATCATATAACACATTTATTAATGAAGTAAATTAGTAAATATTAAGCAACAAATTTGGGAACAGTGTTATCAATATGTTGTGAGCATTATTTGGAAATAAACTAATATTAGGTGCCTTAACAACTGACTTTCTGTACAGTGAAATAAAAATACTTGCATGTCTGTCTGACTCTATTTCTGAAAAGTTCAACTCACAGAAGTGTTAAGAAGGGGATTACTGAGCTCCACTGGTATTTCATTGGCCGTAAGAGTTTGTGTGTTTGGCAGCAGTGCATTTCAGAGACACTTTGAAGTAATTAGGGATCAGTAAACAGACGTTACAGTACATACATTGTAGTGTGACTCACATCTCCGTCATGGCAGTATCGCTTCTGGGCATTCAGCAAAGCATGCAGAATATATGTCAAAGCTCTCCACATTTTGAACTGAAAAGTGAACTGTGTCAACAGTGAAGAAATAACCGTTCATAGATATTAGCATTTCAAAAAGAGAGAAGAAGAAAGTGTACGATGAGCGAAGGGCGACGAGAGCAAGGGGGAGAGAGTGAGGGTGAATGGAAATGTAAAGATTGCATGGAATGCTCTTGGGTGAACTGTAAATGAACCCCTAAACCCCAATCTCCACCTGACAAAATCTGTTCTTTGCCCTGACATACAACCACAAAGAGCTTGCAGCCAGCATGCAGGAATGCCATGTTAAGATCACAGTTACCTCTCTATAGGTTCTAAAAGTATAGTATTTAAAAAAATTTCCATCACAGGAGAGGCAGTGGAAATGTTATATATTTGATAATCTTTATACGCTAAATATTTATCATCCTGCTTTCTATGATTGTTTTAGAATATTTGCAACCATGATACCTGAAACATACACTAAGGTCTCATAAGGAAAGTTGACATTGAGATTAAGGTGGGCTTCTTTTGGAAAACAAAAAGAGGCTAAAAATATCACTCATGAACAAAGACATAAAAATGACTCTTTTGGGATATCCCTCACAAGTACATGGTTTTTGTTTCATTGTTATTTTGAACTTAATGACCCAGACACACAGCTATGAAATACCCATATATGTAACATTTCTTGACGGTCTGAAAACATCAAGTTTAACACCTCTGTGGTGTGTGACCACATTGTTGGCTTTGTGATCTCTCCTCGGCTGTCATCAGTGACACGCATCACATTAAAACTGTGACTGAACCGAGGTAATGATAACCACAGTTGCATGGTTAGAATGGTATTTAAGCAGGCTAATGCCCTGTTTGTTTTCCTATGCACTCTCCCAGTGGTGCTCTCAATCCAGTGAGAGTGTGTTGAGTGCTGTGATTGGTGTGTTTTTGTCTGTGTGTGTATGTTCAGAGACACTCCCTCTCCTAAGCTGGGCAGGTCTTTTTCTGTGTGTGTGTGTGTGTGTGTCTGTCTCCCTCCTTCATTCAGTCACTCACTTTCCCTCACTCGCTCTTTTCTTTCCCTTTTTACTTCCCCTCTTAATGTCTGCTTGTTTCCTCCTCCTCCTTTCTTCTCCGTCTCTCCTCCCATAGGGGCTGTGTGCATTCCTGCCAGGAGGGGCGGAGGTGTCTGTGATCCGGTCTCGATAAGGACCAGGCCTCCCCTCCACGCTACCCTCCCTCATGTTCACCCGCGCCCTCACCCCCTCCCTGGGAAAATGGGTGCACCCTCCTCCCTGGCAGGGCACCGGCTCCCCTTTGAGTGTGCTGCCAGCCGTGGCAGCAGAGACTTAACATGATTTGTTTGTCTGCTGCTGCGTGTTTGCACCAAACCCTAGCGCCAACCCCCATTACTCCTGCCGGAGATCCAAAGGTCTGGTTAGCTGGTACAGATCTGGAGTGAGGCTCCTTGAGGGGGGGTTAAAGGGGTGTTAAAGAGGGTGAGGTAGGGAAGGTGGGGGATGTAGGGAGTGATCAGGGGTTTGAGTTTGGAATATGACCCACAGACTGGAAACATTCAACATTTCTTGAAAATGGGCTTTGCAAAGGACCAGACTCAGCATATATGAGATAACAGGAAAACATGTACACACACACACACACACACACACACAAAAAAAAAAACTATTTAACTAAACACTCAGTTTGCATTTTTCAGAGATTTAGGGTTTTCCCATTCTTCCTTTTTTTTCTGGTGTATTGTAATTGGCTTGCTTCCTGGTGCAGCGGCGGACAGCAGGCACAGCAGCGGCTGCCCAGTCGGCCCATTGATCTTTCATCAGCCCATAGAGTTAAAGCTGAAGGCATGAGGGAGAGGCTGGGGAGGCAGCCCCTCTTTTTATGGCAGCCCGCTGGAGCCTGCCTAGGATTGTTCCCTGTTTCCTCAGATTGTTTTTCATTTAGTCAGGGTGCAGCGCTGTGCCGCTCTGAGGAGGTGAGGTGAAGTGTCGCAGACATTTAGAGGAGCACGTAACAGCTACAGTCTGGGTAGGTGGATACAATGGTATAGCAGGCCTTGTTTGCTGATAACATTTTAGTTTCTGTGTGTGACAGTGTGTGTGTTTGGGTTTTTAGGTTTTTTTTTTTATTGTGTGTATGGGGTGTGTGACATCTCTATGGTATATTTCTCCCTGTTCCAAAGCACGGATTAAATTACCTATGATTAGGATGGTGTTTGTGGCAGTTGATCTGTAAATGTCCCTTCAGCAAATCAAGACAGAGTTTCATGGCATGCAATAACCTAAAATGAAGGAAAGTTGTACTATTAATGTGTATTTTTGAGTGGACAGAAGAAATCAGTTATTCCTTGCCTAAAAGACTGTCAAAACCCAGTGAAACCAGATGACAAAAAGCAGCACCACTAATTTAGTGGAAGAGATACATTAGACTGTTGCACTTGGTAATATTTCTCCATGGACTCCCAGACTATTAATCAAAACCATTTTACATTAAGAAAAAAAGTAGCAAGAGCTCTTAACGCAAATCAAATTTCACTTAAGGGGCTGAAATTACCTTCATCAATTTGCATGAAAGCCATGGTAGTGGTCAAGACATCCATGTGATATCCAATCAGAGGGTCTAATCAGTATGTGGGTGTGGTCCATTGTATCCCCAACAGTATTCCATTGATCGGAGCTCCAGCGCTGAGCTGCAGCAGTCGTGCAGGGCCTGAACTTGGTCATCTAACTGATATGTGATATTAGGATCCTTCTTCAAGGCAGCTCCACGGGGATCTGGTCAGAGAGAGAGAGAAAGAGAAAGAGACAGAGTCAGATCAGCAGATCAATTTTCACTGGACTTTGAATATTTCATGTAAGGAGTCTTGCAGCAGACACACAGATGGGCTGAATAACTGGCCATGTCCAGTCACACACATACACCTGATTACACGCATGCTTACAAATACACACACTCACAAAGCCTGATCACGCTTCAAATTTGCACAAAAATAAATGTGTTTTCCACTTCATTTGAACATACCAAAATGAGTAGACCCTGATATTATTTACACTAAAATACAAATTCATTGTAAAGCTGCCAAAAAGGTGGCTGCTGTTTGTAGTATGACAAGAACATTTCTGTGAGAAGATGTTACACACACACACACACTCACATGGCCATTTCACCCAAAGGGCCGGGTTAGGGGAATCATGTCTGGATCATGTTTCTAGGCCAAACATGTGGTCGATGTAAGGCTGTGATACCCACTGAGCCGAGGTCCTAAAAGTGGACACACAAACATGTTCAAAAAGCCTATTTCTACACACAGTAGAAACATACCTGTGTTCATATGTGAAACACTGGCATTTGTAAATTGTATGTCCTTTGTCATTTAATCCCCACTAAATGGTGTAAGATCATAAAATTGTGGAACATAAATGTTGGATCATTTTAAAGAAAAACTTAAATTATGCCCTGTGTAAAATGGACAGTAAATCTATCTGGAGTATCAGCAGTAACAATACAACGGGATGACTCGCTCTGCAGCAATAACCCACACCTGACCCCTAAACCTTCACCCACAGAAAGGATGTTGTTTCACCGACTGTCTTCAAATACTTTCCTCTCGGAAAGACATCAGTGAAACCAGAGCTTGTCAGGCCCTGTATTTGTTTATTAAGTATGCTCTTGGACTGGCTTACTCCCAAGATGGCTGTAACTGAGAGATTTGTTCATGTAGGCATTAGGGCTGGCTATCAGTAGTGAATTATTTATTGAAAAAAATCTCCCCTTCCTTGACGGATGAGAGAATATGTAGGGCTGCTCACTGACTGTTCCATATATTAGAGGAATGATGAAAACATGCTTATGAGCTGCACACTGACAATACATTTTAAAATAAACTGGACAAAATGTCTATTTCTGAAAAATGCTCCCAAAAATATTGTACACTGATATGACATTACTTCAGCCATAGTACTTCAGTTGTTTAGTATATGAATATTCAGTGAAACAAATCAGATTAAACACATACATTTTGATGACTACTATACATTTGTACGCATAGAATTAAATATTTCAACTGTTAAGTTATAAAACTCTTTATATCTTTAAAATATCTCTATCTTTAAAAACTCTTTATAGATCATGTACTGTGCCTTTCCAAACAGCTCATTATTTCTTAGCTCTTCCAAAGCTGTGTCAGGGTGTCAGTGCCTCCTTAAAATGTTTGAATGGTGCATTTTTATAAATACTATCTTCTAGAATAAATATGATAAACTTCAGTGTATATATTCCCTCTGACAGGAACACGTGGGATTCCACGGGGAAGAAGAAGTGGTTGCAGAAACATGTGCTGATACTGTGGGACCCCCAACCCTTGTTTATGACAATAACAAAAAAAGGACACAAGTCAAACGAAATAGGACGACTAGAAATTCAGTTACCATGGACATCTCTCCTGCCAGATTTAAATCACAAATGATTTGTTCAAATCAGAATAAATCACATTTGGTAATTTTCTCTGCCTGCTTTATTATGTTAGTTTTTTTAGTCTGCAGCAGTGAAAGAAAAAGAGACGGGCAGAGGGGCCTGGCTATTGTCATTCAATAGCTGAGCCATTTTGGAAATCACCGTTCTCGATTTGCTCCTGCTGCCTCTCTCTCTGTATTCCCTTATGGCTGCACTAGATGGAAGGCTTCCTTTTATAATTTCCAAGTTGCACATATGCCACCAACCCCCCCTCCCTCCCTTCTCGAAAAACATACACATGTCAAAGGCTGAGTTGAATGATTGAATGAGTCAGTGATAGAAGTAAAAAATTATAAGGGATGGAGTGAATGTATTCATTAACTCTGCAACAACAGGATGCATCTATAGTGATCAAATTAGTTAACCCCCGTTTAAAATTTTACAGCAAAACACAAGTTTGGGTCTCTTAGGATAATTTACAACTAGAGACGTCTATATATTGGTGTTTAAGCTAAAAGCTGCTCCATTACCAGAAGGGACTAATAATTGTGATCTATGCTACTCAGCAAATAATCAATCATGCTTTTTTAGTGTGTTTTAAAATGGATTTTGCTGAGGATTTACTGACAAATTCCAACAAACCATTGTCTTGCATATGGAGGAGCACCTTTTAGAGCCAATATTATGTAACATTCAGGTGACATTATCTGAAATAAAATATTTTGTGGGATATAATGCTAGTTACGATGGCATACGGGGGCTTTTGTGAGCTCTAGACCTAATTTGAATAAAACCACTCTGGCCTTGTGACCCAGGCTCTTCTAAACACTCTCACATTGTCACACAAAGAGCCACTAAAAGGGGGCCCATGACCCATTTTGTGTCTTGGCCCATATTTCAAGAATAAAGTATTAGACAAACTATCTGTGAGTCAGCATCCGAACTGGAGGAGAAAAATGCAGAGATCAGAGGAAAGAGTGCAGTGCACAGCAGTCGAACAGAATAGCAACACAAGACAACTGAGCACGCTAGAAGACTTTGCTTAAAATCCAAAATATTCATGGAGAGCTTAACATGTGGATGATGACAGCCTGATGACTGAGTAATTGCAGACCTTTTTTAGAGCAACCTGCATGTTAAGACTTTAAATTTGCAGAAATCAGGCAGAATCTCCACACTGTCAGTCTCACACCGAGTAGGATTATTCTCATCAATAGGGCATGAAATTCACTGGCTGACCACTAGACACCCCGTCTGTTTCAAGGCAAACAAAGTGACCACTGAAGTAACGTGCCAGTGTCTGTGACTGTGCTGAAATTGTGTATCATTGTGTGTGTGAGAGAAAGAGAGATAGGGAAGAGGGGGAAAAAAGACAAACATGAGTGTGTGCCTGAGAGAGAAAAATAGAGGTTGATATTTGTGTGTGTTTTTACGTGTGTGTAAGTGAGAAGGGATTTTGGAGAGTTTCTATTTTAACCGTATGTGAAATGGTATGAAACAGCCTGTCACTTTTACCAAATCTGCTGAAATAGGAATTTAAAATTGTGTGGTCTGTTCTTGCTCTGCTCCACATATTCACCCCTTTATTTTCACACTTGAATCACAGCGGGGACTATTTTAACTATTGTGATATTTGACCTTACATAGGATATTGCCACAATAAGCGTAATAAACCATAGTGACAGAAGAATAACCTGTTGAAACCCAGCCTTCAATAACTGTGGTTGCATGTGAACAGCCATCAGGTGATGGGTCTCCATTGATGATATTTAGAGAAAGTACAGACATGTCAGGCGTGTAGGATGCTGCCTAAAAGCAGCTCTGTGGAGAATGCTGGAGGACAGGGCTGAAAATCGAGATCTCTAGGCTGATTGCCATGAAGTAATGCACTAATGATGACACTGCTCAGGCTCTAATGTGATGAATTGATTTCACCAGGTTGAGAGGTTTAGGAGCAGACCTGTACACGCACCTTACTTCGGGGAAATGAGACAAAAAAGTATTTTAAGGATACTTCAACATGTTGTAACATCCAGAATCCTAAGAACCCCTGAGATGCAACAGGTAAAACAGGGGTCAAAAGAAGTTATTTAGTTTATGTGTGTATTGTGATTGTCATGTAGAGACATCACATCTATAACTAATTAAGCTTTTGTAAATTACCAGAGCCTATGGTACATCTTTAAATAGATAAATATCTACAACAGCCTTCCGCCTAAACAAGCTTTCCTGTTGCATGATGGAGGTCTGTGGAGAAATGTGACTCTTCATCTGTAACAAATGTCCCTCAGCAGCCTCCCAAGAGTCTACCAAAGCCGCAGCCATGACATCAAACGCTCGTCAGTATTTACACGACCGGGAAGTGTCCAGAGAAGTGTGTTTAAATGGCTGAAAAAGGATGACCAAGCAACAGAGCCACCCCTCGCTGCTGCAACACATGCTGCAGGACGCTTCTTGCCTTTAGCGTGCAGTTTGTGCGCCAGGCGCCAAGGAGAATAATCTGTTTACAGTGTGCGCGTTGATGGTCATTTTTTATGATGTTGTTTAATCCACAGTGGATGAGGGGAGGGGGTGGGCTGTCTAACAGAGCTCCAGACAAGCTGGCTCCAGTGGCCATCTCTGTAGGCTATAGGCTTCTCTATTTGAGCAGAGAGACAGGTGTAAATCTCTCCTGCGATCTTTACTCTGCACTCTCTGCGACACTCACCTGAAGGTAAATAAATGGTTTATGGCCAAGTAAATGAACCACCTCTCTGGTCTTGTGGGCTTTTGCACAGAAAGAGAACACCCCCGGGGTAGTTGTCATTGTCGTGCGCTGAGTTGTACACTGAAAAGACAACATAGGTAATGTATTGCAGTTGTTAATGTTTAAAGATTAGGGAATTTAAAAAAAATATTTTTCAATATCGTTTTTCAATTATCTGGCAGAAAAAGAATCTTAAACCACCTCCTTGATATCGAGTAAATCTATTTATAGATTATTTTTTATTAGTAATCTATCAAAAGACACAGAAGAAGAAAATTACACGTTTCCAAATAAAAAAGAGTAGACTGTGTATATTTTAAAGCTTATATGCAGTCAAATGCATAAACTGTATTATAACGTATAATACAATAAAGTTTTTAAAGAAAGACGCAATGCATTTAGAGTGAATAATTATATATTAAATCAAATATAATTCCTACTAGCCTACCTGTCGGAGGTGTTTGAAGGTCTATGTCTGAATACTGGCGTGCGCAGTTATTCTAAATGTTTTTTCATAGCCTTCCAAAAGGTGATCTCAATATTCCAGCTAAGATCACATTGCCACATTGTCATGTGGCACCCCACATCACGCAAAGTGTGTGCAAGTACGTGTGCGCGCGTGTGCGTGTGTGTGTGTGTGTGTGTGTGTGTGTGTGTGTGTGTGTGTGTGGTTTGTAGTGAGAGAGCGAGAGAGGAAGGGGGCTATTATACCAAAGTTCTGCAAAGTAGGTCTGTGCCACTCTTGATTAGGGATTGTTCCCAAAAGATGGTTGCAGACATGAGATAATGAGGTCCTGTGATAACGCGGGTCTCCTTTAAGTTTTTCCCATGAATCGAGACTGTCGCCAGTCCACAAAACGACACTGTGCATCGGCACCACGCTACTCACTTCTCATTTGTCGAGCACAAAAGCTGATCCACCCCAAATCCGCACTAACAAACCAGGGGCCGGGAGTAAATCATATAATGTTCAATCGTATTCACTTCTCCACTAATTAACTGGAATCCCACCTTATTCCTAAATACAGTGACCAATTAAACTGCCATG